TCTTTTTCTTTCAGCAACCCCTGCAGGTAGGAATTCCAGTTTCCACCTGGGCTTAATTAAAAAGGCTAAGTAGTTTGCTCTTGTTAAGGGCTACACGAGTTAAACTCAGATCCTAGGAATAAAACCTAGGCCTTTATCCCTGCCAAGTTGAGAGAGGACCAGTGTTTGGCAGTCCTTTTTCTGCTGCAGTAAAACTGAAGAACAGGACCCACTCCCAGCCTGCACGATGGTTGGCATGCAGTTATTTGTAAGGCAGGCACTAGTGTACTAGTTTTTTTTAACCAGTCCTATTACCCCGTAGTGATGCGCAAAACCCCTTCCTGTGCTAAACTTTCTTACCAAAATTATGCTCTAGTTAAAGCAGCGGCAGCAGCAGCGGTTTTCTGTTTTTTGTGTAAATGACACTTATTAGTTTGGAGAAACTTTAATTATAGTAAAATAGCTGGCTAGAAGCAATGTCGGAAGTTTCTTTCTACAGAGGTGTCTCAGAGGTGGCAGAACCTGATCTGGGCCTGGGAGGGGAAAACTTCAGGAAGGGTGAGTGGGGCATTCCAGGGGAGGGAAACATGCAGGAGAGCTCCTGGAGTGGGCCAGGTGCAGGCAGTGGTCATCATCATTCATTTGGTGAGAAGGCTGAACAAGAAGAAGTCGAATGGGTAAGTGGTTGAGGGCCAGATTCTGGAGAGTTTGGACTTCTTGAGGTAAACTTTAGCGTGCATTAAGTGATGCTCTGAATCACTAATGAGTGTCCCTAGGAAAAGCTATGAAAATGGTCTTTTTAAAAATGTATTGGCGTATAGTTGATTTACAATGTTAATGAGTTCGTTTCAGGTGTAGAGCAGAGTGATTCAGTTACGCATATATTCATTCTTTTTCAGCTTCTCACATAGGTTATCACAGAGTATTGAGTAGAGGTCCCTGTGCTGTACAGTAGGCCCTTGTTGGTTATCCGTCTCGTAGATAGTAGTGTGTGTGTGTTCATCCCAAGTTCCTGATTTACAACACCCCCCCTGCCCCCCGTTTCCTCTTTGGTAACCATGAGTTGTTTTCAATATCTGGAAGTCTGTTTCTGTTTTGTAAATAAGTTCATTTGTATCATTTTTTAAAAAAATGAGATTCCACATATGAGTGATATCATATGATATGTCTTTGACTTCACGTTGTATGATAATCTCTAGGTCCATCCATGTTGCTGCAAATGGCATTATTTTGTTCTTTTTTATGGCTGACTAATATTCCATTGTATATGTGTACCACATGTCTTCATCCATTCCTCTGTCGATGGACATTTAGGTTGCTTCCATGTCTTGGCTGTTGAAAATGGTCTTAAGGCTGATTAGTCTGGCAGAATTAGGCTCTTTGGATGGGAGATCCTGTCGGGATGGTAGAAAGGTGGAACTTGTAAAAACAGTGTACCACTGGATGTTTTCTTCCTTATAGGAGACTTTTGGGAAATTTAAATATGAGTTACTCTGTTCAAGCATAGACAGGCAAGGTGACTGAATTAGGAAAAAAAGAATAGAAAAGGTCAATTAGTATACTTAATAATTTTGTAAGGTGTTTTTCATCTAGGAAGTAAACTATTATTACTGTAAATGAAGTTTAATCACATACTTTATTATGAATACTTCAGCAGCGGGAGAAATAGTATAAATGTATTACAAGAGGCCATAAAGGGAATTATATTAAGAAAACATTGACAAATACCAGAACATTACTAAATATTAGAACTGGAACATATATGCAGAAAACACAAGATACTGTTGAATCTATTCTCAGGGCAGAGGGAGAAGTTCGAGTTGGGGAATAGGAATTGACTTGTGATTAGACAAGAAAAGAAACTAGGAGAACTGGGCTAGAGAGAGCCATGCGAGGCAGGCTTCAGCTGTCCCTAGAAACCAGTAGTCATGAACCATGGGCCTCATGGTCCAGCTGCTCCTGGGGACCAGGCCGTCAAAGTGTCACCGATGAACAAGTCTAGGCATAAGCCTCTGGAAACCAGGGCTGCTTAGGTCGGCTGAGTCATCTCTTCACCCTCGCTCTCCCTGTCCCTTCTCCCACTATAGTTACTCTAAAAAGACAAAGCCAACCTTTTTTCTAGCCTGACCACCTTTAGTTGTGAAACTGGTATCAAAAATGGTTAAACAGTCATTCCCGTGGGATGCTAAGAAATAAATAACAGACCTCTTAAGCCTGCTACTTTAAAATACAACAAATAGGGCTTCCCTGGTGGCGCAGTGGTTGAGAGTCCGCCTGCCGATGCAGGAGACACGGGTTCGTGCCCCGGCCCGGGAAGATCCCACATGCCGTGGAGCGGCTGGGCCCGTGAGCCATGGCCGCTGAGCCTGCGCGTCCGGAGCCTGTGCTTCGCAACGGGAGAGGCCACAACAGTGAGGCCCGCGTACCGCAAAAACAAAACAAAAACAAAACAAATATTTTTCTTTGGGTCTTGGAAACTGTTACAAAAGTATTTATGGTCCCTGTGTGAAAAGGGGTTTTCATGTGTAATTATATGTATATAAAAAAAGACAGCGCTATTTCCCCACCAGCGTTTCTGAAATGGTGATATGTTCTCCCGGGGGGTAGGGATGAGGAATATGATAGTCCAAAATGAGAATGCCAGATGCCTTCCTGTTCTCCATTTCCTTTGCTTTTAATATTCAACCCTGCTGCTTGCATAGTCTAAGCCCCAGTTGTCTTTCAGCCCAGCTGTTAAAATTTTAAAACTGTGCAGAGAACAAGGGGGCATAACATATTTTGAGCTTCTCTCTTTTTTTGACATGCATGGTTTCCTCAGTCCAGTAAGTGTTAAACTGGTTTTCCATTGTGACTATGACTTTAATATATGATATACTCCGATGGTCATACCAATATTTTTACAAAACCAGAAAAAATTTTCCCAATGTCATTGTAACTAAGTGTGAACATCCATATGGTTATTTCTAGTCAGTTATTTGCTAGATACTAGAGTCATAATTCACCTCTGATCGCATTGTGTTTATTAAGTAATTGGTGGGCTTTATTAAAAGTCAGTTTCTTAGAAGAAAGTTTCTCAGTTAGGTTGTTTAAATGGAGGGGATTTTTATCTGTGTGTGAAGCAGATTAAATAAACTAATACTCAGAATCTATCTAGCAATAAGGAGCCCTGTCACATATATTGAAAAATTAACACAGTTGTATTAAAAATTGCCCCATCTCTTCAATCCAAAGAAATTATATTCCTTTCCTAGGCATATCTGTTATGAAATTTATGTTGATAGCTTTAGAATTTCTGTTTCTTGGCTTATAATTTATAATATCCATGTGGATTAAGTGTAGTTCTGAGAGTATAATCTTAAGTCTGTTATGGTTGAAGTCAAATTTGAAATCTATGGATAATATGCCTTTTTTTCTAACAATGCATGAGGATATTCCTACCCTCTCTTAATCTTTTTGGGTGATTCTATTTTTCTTTCCAGGGAATATTTCATTTGCCAGTGAGTTTATGTTGCAAAGTTTTCTGCTAAAATTCAAGAGCATATTTATCAATGCAAGTACTAGATAGGCATTGACAAAGTTAAATAGGGATTTTACCTTCAAATGCTTTAGTGTATGATATTATGTCACTTAAAACCTAATATATCTGTTTTCTACATACATAAATTACAACATAGATGATATTAGTGAAGAAGGAAACTATTAGTTATTTCTATTTATGTGTAAAACCCAGGCCAAAACTTGCTGGCTTTAAAAGCAACAAATTAATTTTTTCTTAGAGTTCTGTGGGTTTCCTGGGCAGTTTGCTGGATATCTCACCTGAACTCACTCAGGCTTACTCAAGCATTGAATTCAGATGATGGCTGGATGATCCAAAATGGCTTAACTCACGTATCTGGTAGTTGGTGCTTGCTATCAGCTGGGGTACCTTGGTTCTTCTCCAGATGACGTTTTATCCTCTGTGAGGCTAGAGTTATAGCATGATGATCTCAGAACAGGACTCCATGATAGCCAAATCTAATGCAAAAGCACTTATTAAACCTCTGCTTGCTTCACATTTGTCGATGTGACATTGGCAAGTCACGTGGCCAAGAGTCTGTATGGGAGTGGGCTTAGATGGCATCTATTGATGGTAGAAATGCCAGAGAATTTGTCCCCATTTTTTCTCTATACTGGAAGCTTTTCCCCCCCTCTTCTAAAAACCTATCCTTTTTCCTTTGTAAATAAACCGTAATCCCAAATTGGAAAGGTATTGCCTGGGCCTCTTACTTTGGCATGGCTAACATGGAAGCGTTGTATGCAAACAAAAACATATATCATTAGGAAACAGGGGTTAAAATGTAAACATTTCAATTGACTAATCACAAAAGTAGTCATTAAGTTAACAGATTAACGTTTATTTTTTTTTTAAGTCATGCTTATGATTACCATACATCCCAAACCAAAACTAGCCAATATTGTAATTCCCACTCATACACTGGTTATCCTCCCAACTAATAGTTGTTTGAGTAGAAAAGAAGGGCAGTGGGCAGGAAAAAGAGGAAAAGGGAGCTAAGAACTAGACAGTGGTGCCTAGAAGTGAATTCTATACTAAGAAATAATAGCACTGGAATGATGCCCACCGTCTAGGTGAGGTACATAGCACTTGATGCAACAAAATGATTATAATAAAAACCATAGTGATGCAAAAAACTCTTATATTTACATGAGGCGTTGGAATTTGCAAAACTTTCATGTCTTATGACATGTATCCTCAAGATAACGACATAAAGATGTTGATTCCCATTTTGCAGCTGATTACAATTTAGGGAGCTTCATTAACCTGTTCAAAACTGTAGCACTATTAGATGGAAGAGCCAGGGTCTAAAGATTTCTGATAACCAGCCCTGTCCTTGTTTCACAGCAAAACTTCATGCAAAACATAAACTATGAAGCAAAGAAATAAGCAGAAATGAGCTTTGAAGTTTTACCAAACAAAATACATTTTAAACAAAGAAACTGGCATCCATGTTTGTTTGTTTTAGTAGTAATTGACAGAGATCCTACCTGGGATAGGATTTAGTCTCCCCATACTTCTGAACCAATGAAGAGAAAATGGGAAGCAAGACTGAAGCAAATTGAAGAACGAGCATCCCATTATGAGAGGAAACCATTGTCCTTGACATACAGACCAAGATTGTCTAAGCCAGAAGAACCACCATCCATTTGGAAACTATTTCATCGGCAAACTCAAGCTTTTAATTTTGTTAAAAGTTGTAAAGAGGTAATTTTTCTCATCTTTTTTTTAGGGCTACTATACCTTAAGATTTCCAAAAAAAATCTGTTGTTTGTCTTCATTTCAGTCCACATATTTTACCAGAAGAATTTAATTGCGATATTTTGTACTATTTAGGAAAGATATCCATGAATCATTAACCATTTACTTTATATTAATAATGAAAAAAATGACATATCTAGTTCCAAATAGTTTAAAAAATTTGTAATGACATAGAAATGAAGCTATGCTTAGAGAAGTGATTGTATTCATAGACTGAAAAATAATAGAATGAGTGTAAGAGTTAAACTAAGATAATAGCCACTGAAATATCAGGAAATGAGTAAGTAGAGTGTGAGTTTTTTTTTTTTTTTTTTTGGTCTGCGTTGGGTCTTTGTTGCGCGCAGGCTTTCTCTAGTTGTGGCGAGTGGGGGCTCCTCTTCATTGCGGTGCGAGGGCTTCTCATTGCGGAGCACATGCTCTAGGTGTGCGGGCTTCAGTAGTTGTGGCTCTCGGGCTCTAGAGCACAGGCTCAGTAGTTGTGGTGCATGGGCTTAGTTGATCCGGGGCATGTGGGATTTTCCTGGACCAGGGCCTGAACCCGTGTCCGCTGCATTGGCAGGCAGATTCCTAACCACTGTGACACTAGGGAAGCCCGGAGCATGAGATTTTAAGGATGAAATCAGGGATTGGAGATTTGAATTTAAACAATCGCAAATGAAAATGTCTCAAATGTCATAGCTTAAAGTTAATAAGCCCTAAAACTTAAATCATAGTACCAAAGCACACATGTTTTTATCTTTCTACTGTCCCTTTTGTGCTTTGGAGTAGTAGAGTGGATTTATCATAATTTCCAACACGTTAGGAAAGTGGGAGGAAGAAATGCTTGCTACATGCTAGCCTCACAAAGGGAATGGTTCTCAAAAATAAACGAGCAGGTGTGTATTGCACATCTTTTTTTGTTGGGCACTGTGGGGAATATAAAGAAATATAACGAAAAGATGCGTCTATCCAGCATAAATCCAGCATAAATATATTGTGATTCTGAAAATTGATTATATATAAAAACTCAAAATGCTATAAGTTTTTAAGGAGGAGGACCTTCTTTCCCTGGTAAACAGAAGCTCACTCATATCTCATCAGAGTATTTTAGGAAATAGAAGGAAAGCCTTTTGTGTGCATTTTGTGTAACCCTAATTCAGGTATCAGAAATTAAAATACAGATTTGCTTAATCTTAACTTTAAAAAATGTATAGCTGTATGATTGCTGGATTTACCAATCATCAGTTTATAAAATTTATCTCGAGAAGATTTTTAATAGGGCCGGGTAGCTTAGTCTTTTTATGATTTCTCTCTTGAAAATGGAAGTTTAGTTCCTTTACAGGCTCAACAGCTACCCTTAGCTAAGTGGAAACAAAAGAACTTGTGTATATTCCTTTTCTATGAGGAACAATATAGTTACTTGTTCTGCATTTTAAAACTTTCCTTAAGCTTTTAAGATTTACATACAAATATATTTTTAAAAATGGTTCTCATGTATTTTTATATACTCTAGGAAATTTATTAACTTTAGTCCAAATTATTTACAATAATGTTTAGGTAGTTTTGAAAAATAAGTTCTTTTTCATAAACTGGCAGATAAAACTATAATAGAAAGTCAAACGAGTGACTGAAAAATGATTTTTCTTTCTTTTTTTCGTTTTAGTCTGGATGTTCTAATTGTTTCTGCCTTGAACATGTATTACCTGAGTGACTAAATATAAATAAATACAAATAACTAGATTTTGATTGGCATAGATTTAGTGATTAATTTTCTTGTTTTCAATAATACAAATGTTTCAGTTTTTGAAAATTTGAATGATAAAATCTTTATGAACATTTAATAGCTACAGTTGATTTTAAATTTGCATTTTACTAATTTTTTGAATATTATTTTTGGTTTTGTAAAGGACGTTCACGTATTTGCTTTGGAATACAAAGTGGGCGATGGACAACGTATTTACCTCGTAACAACGTATGCTCAACTTTGGTTTTACTATAAATCCCGGTAAGTAGCTTTTAAAGCACAACATGTTAAATTACATTTCCTTCATCTGGAAATGCTTGTGAAGTTAAGTCAGGCTGCCTTGGCTTTCATAGTTCTCAGTCACGCAGTTAGTTACTACTTTACTATTAGAATTGAATTCTGGAGTTTCCTTGTGATAGCAACACTGAATTACCTCACCAGGTGCTAGGAGAGAGAAATTGCCTGTGTTTTGAATTCCTGTACCACGTGATGACACAATTCCCACCATCACTTTTCTTTGTTCAGATTACTGTAAACCTTTTATTTGTATATGATGGCACTAAGCAGTTTATCATTTACTAATCAAGTCAGCATTTCTTCTTTATAACCCATCTTAAAGTCATACCTCTTGATACCAGTGAGAATGAAACTGCACATGTGAGCATTGAAAGCTCATTGAAGTCAGGTGATTCAGAATGTATGTAACCAGTTTTTAAAATATTCCTAATGAAAATATGGAACTTAAAAATTCTCATTAAAAAATTCATGGAGTCCCAAGAATATGTGATTGTGGGATCACAGTTTGAGAAAGTTCTTAAACAAAATTTGCTTCATGGTGATACAAAAACAAATGTAGAAGTGTTACCTGATATCAAAATTATCTGTGAATAAATAACAGTATGAAGTTGACTATATTTTCCAGTTATATAACGTTACAGAAAATGATTGTTAGATCTTGTTTGATGAAAACTCTTGATACTGTGTAGCGTAAACCTGTGGTAAGCAGTTGTTCACTTTATCTTGTCTTCATTATGTCATAGTTATCTGTCATTACATCACAGTTAATATACTATTGAGATACAAGAGCAACTTCTGTGATTTAAAAGGTATGAGATATAAACCTAACAATCTTGAATTATTCAATTCAGAAGAAATCTCTTACACTGCTATGAAGTCATTCCTGAAAATGCTGTGTGCAAGCTTTATTTTGATTTGGAATTTAACAGACTTGCCAATCCAGGAGCTGATGGGAAAAAGATGGTTGCATTACTCATTGAGGTAAATTACAGACTCAGGTTTTTCTCCTTATATCTACCTGTATATCTTTTCATTCACTCATTCAGTCATTAAATGAATCCAACCTATGTAATGTGTAGGTTCTGTGTTTCTCCTCCTTTTTCTTGTTACTCTTCCTTTTGACTTCGTTTCTTAATGCCACTTCTCTGAGTAAACTTCTGAAAAGGAGGAAGGTTCAGTTTATGTCCATATATTTCGTAATATTGCTGTATCAAAAAAAACTGAGAGGACTTCCTGGTGGCGAAGTGGTTAAGAATCCACCTGCTAATGCAGGGGACACGGGTTCAATCCCTTGTCCGGGAAGATCCCACATGCCGCGGAGCAACTAAGCCTGTGCGCCACAGCTACTGAGCCTGCGTTCTAGAGCCCATGCGCTGCAAATGCTGAAGCCCGTGTGCCTAGAGCCCGTGCTCCGCAACATGAGAAGCCACTGCAATGAGAAGCCCGTGCACCGCAACAAAGAGTAGCCACAACTAGAGAAAGCCTGCGCACAGCAGTGTAGACCCAATGCAGCCAAAAATAAATACATTAAAAAAAAAAACCCAAAACTGAGAAAGGTGGCAGTTTGGTAATTTTCTGTTTCTTAATTATATATTCTTTTACATTACAAATAGTTGACTCTGGTGAAGATTAGGTGAAGTAATTTTTACTGAAAAATTGAGTACTAAGATAAACTTCAAGAAAGTTTTGATTAAAATAGTATCAGAAGTTTAGAGCTGGCAGAAATTTTGGAAACTGTTCTGTCTTACATCATCATAAATGAGGAAGCTAAAGCCTAGAGAGACTTAATTCCAACTCCAGGTCCAACAACTAGTTACTGGCAAAACCTGGTCTAGAACTACAATTATCATTTGTCTTTGTTTTTCACAAAGAGAAAAAGTATAGTTCTAGTATATATTTTTGATTTAGCAGTGTCAACCCATATTCCTTTTATTATTTAGTAATAAAAGGAATATGGGGGCTTCCCTGGTGGTGCAGTGGTTGAGAGTCCGCCTGCCGATGCAGGTGACATGGGTTCGTGCCCCGATCCGGGAAGATCCCACATGCCGCGGAGCAGCTGGGCCCGTGAGCCATGGCCGCTGAGCTTGCGCGTCCGGAGCCTGTGCTCCGCAAGGGGAGAGGCCACAACAGTGAGAGGCCCATGTACCGCAAAAAAATAAAAAAAATAAAAAAAAGGAATATGGGCTTGTGCAACTAAGCTCTATTAGGTTCGTTTATAAAATCTTTTAAGATTGTATTAAGGTGTACTAAAATTATATTGACTATTATTTGGACTCAGAGTAGGTATTAACATTAACTATTTTTTGTTTTAGATGTTAGCTGTAGATGACTCATTTTATAATGTTAAAAATACATCCAAATTAAAATGTTTTTGATTAAAAATATCTGCTGATTTTGTCGGATCTCTACATGTTTTATTTTAAATTTATTTGAAAAATGTATGCAAATACTGTTTTTTAAAAAATCATAATGTCAGCTTTCTCCTGAGTTTGAAGCAAAAGAAATATACATAAGTTCCCCCCAGCCCTCCCAGAAAACAACAGAAAAGTTACGTTTTTCTTAAGATAGCCATTGGACCCTGAAAAATAAATGTTTTATTTCATTATAGTTGGTAAGTTGTATTTAATTTTTAACCTTAATTACGTTTTTAATAATCCATAGATATTGACTCTTTTCTAGTGTATGATACACTTCTACAGTCTAAGGTAGGATTTGTTATGTGGGCTCTGTGTGGCCAACAAGGAATGAAGATTCAGAGATTTTCACTGGCACTTTAATATGGTGATACTGTTAAAAAAGGAGTATTAGTACTTCATTGTATTAGAAACTAGAAACTTATCCCTAATGGAATCAACATTAGTGCAAATCCCATTTGTAACAAGAATAAACACTGGTATGGCAAAGATCATGTAGGTGTTTAAATTTTTTTCCTCCTAATTCTTTATACAATCTTATCCAAATTAGTCTTGAACAACTCATCTTTAACATCAACAAAAGTTGGAAAAAGTTGTAGAAATCTGAGTTTAAAATTATACAGCATTTTAATTTAACACGCTCATGTTGGTAGAGAAGTTATTAGGATTATTTTACTTAATGTAACCTTTATAAATGATTATATTGAAATTAATTTCATTTACTGGTTCCTTTGTATGTAACAAGTGTATAATACAATAAGTACTTTTCCTTTAGCATCTCTGTGTGAGGAGGCATAGGTTAGCTGTTATCATAACAGATGGTTAATAAATAACTGGCCAATAATAACTAGTGATAATATGTAATGCCCTTTGATACTTTGACAATTTTTAACTGACAATTCCAGTAAGCCACTTCTGCCAGATGGAATGACTTCTGGTGCTAAAGCATTTTATAAAACTACGTTGACAGGTAACATTGCTCAAATAATCATATATTTTTAACTTCTGGATTTTACAACTTAAATATTTAAATAAATTAAAAACTTTTAAAGTTGAGGTATAATTGATTTACGATATTATATTAGTTTCAGGTGTACAACAGTGATTCAAAATTTTTACAGACTATACTCCATTTATAGTTATTATAAAATATTGGCTATATTCCCTGTAACTTAAAATTTTATTTAAAATTTAACTTGGGAAAAAGAACTTAAGGGGACTATGATTACTTTTATTATCTACAGTTATTACATTTATTCTGTATAGCTCCAAAGTACATAACTAGACTTTATTCATTTATCAAAATTTTTTCAGCCTCTTAGTGTCAGTGTGCCTAGGCATTAACAATACAATGGCTAGCCCAAAGAGACATGATTTCTGCCTTCACAGAATTTATCATGTAATGGAGGATAATAAGTTAGGATGGATTTAGCTGCCATAATAGAGACCTAAAATTAAAGGGGCATAAACAAGATAGAAAGTTATTTCTTTCTCATGTAACACCTGGATGTGACTCCATTGTATTAGGGGACTAGGCCTGTTGCTTTGCTCTTCCTAAGATGCCATTATTTACATTGTCCAAGATGGCTCAGCATCGCTGTGTCTACATTTTAGACAGTAGAAAATGGGGAAGGAGTGAGCATGCCCCTTTCCTTTAAGATTATAATGTAGAAGTGGAATATTTTCCTTCTGCTCACATCCTGTTGGCCAGAACTTAATCACGTGGCCACACCTTACTGCAAGGGAGTCTGGGGAACATGGTCTTTATTCTCAATGACCTCATATCTAGCTAATAATCAGGGTTCTATTTCTACAGAAGCAGGAGAGAACAGTTCCTGAGGGATATTCTCTATGATATAGAGGAAACCTATCAAAATAATCACAAAAATTGCAGCTGTGTAAGTACTACAAATAGAGGTAGAATATATATGGGGCAATTTGATGAGATAAGGAAATTGAGGAAGCCTCTGAGAAAGAATTTACTGAAGAAGAGTAGGATGAGAGAGCATGATGGGAGGTGGTATGCTGTAATACCACAATGACATTAAACACAATTTACTGCATAACTATTTGGTATCTAAGTGTTTGGCAGTGTACAGACATTTTTGCTAATTCCACGATAACCCTGTGTGGTGTCTTTTTGTTTTTTTTTTTTGCGGTACGCGGGCCTCTCACCGTTGTGGCCTCTCCCGTTGCGGAGCACAGGCTCCGGACGCGCAGGCTCAGCAGCCATGGCTCACGGGCCCAGCTGCTCCGCGGCGTGTGGGATCCTCCCGGACCGGGGCACGAACCCGCGTCCCCTGCATCGGCAGGCGGACTCTCAACTACTGCGCCACCAGGGAAGCCCTTTTGGTTTTTTTTTAAACATCTTTATTGGAGTATAATTGCTTTACAATGGTGTGTTAGCTTCTGCTTTATAACAAAGTGAGTCAGTTATACATATACATATGTTCCCATATGTTTTCCCTCTTGCATATCCCTCCCTCCCACCTCTCTAGGTGGTCACAAAGCACCGCGCTGATCTCCCTGTGCTATGCGGCTGCTTCCCACTAGCTATCTATTTTACATTTGGTAGCGTATATATGTTCATGCCACTCTCTCACTTTGTCCCAGCTTACCTGTCCCCCTCCCTGTATCCTCAAGTCCATTCTCTAGTAGGGCTGCATCTTTATTCCCATCTTGCCCCTAGGTTCTTCATGACCTTTTTTTTTTTAATATTCCATATATATGTGTTAGCATACTGTATTTGTTTTTCTCTTTCTGACTTACTTCACTCTGTATGACAGACTCTAGGTCCACCCACCTCACTGCAAATAACTCAATTTTGTTTCTTTTCATGGCTGAGTGATATTCCGTTGTATGTATGTGCCACATCTTCTTTATCCATTCATCTGTCGATGGACACTTAGGTTGCTTCCATGTCCTGGCTATTGTAAATAGAGCTGCAGTGAACATTTTGGTACATGACTCTTTTAGAATGATGGTTTTCTCAGGGTATATGCCCAGTAGTGGGATTGCTGGGTCATATGGTAGTTCTATTTTTAGTTTTTTAGGGAACCTCCATACTGTTCTCCATAGTGGCTGTATCAATTTACATTACCACCAACAGTGCAAGACGGTTCCCTTTTCTCCACACCCTCTCCAGCATTTATTGTTTGTAGATTTTTTGATGATGGCCGTTCTGACTGGTGTGAGATGATATCTCATTGTAGTTTTGATTTGCGTTTCTCTAATGATTAGTGATGTTGAGCATCCTTTCATGTGTTTGTTGGCAATCTGTAAATCTTCTTCGGAGAAATGTCTGTTTAGGTCTTCTGCCCGCTTTTGGATTGGGTTTTTTTTTTTTTGATATTGAGCTGCATGAGCTGCTTGTAAACTTTGGAGATTAATCCTTTGTCAGTTGCTTCATTTGCAAATATTTTCTCCCATTCTGAGGGTTGTCTTTTGGTCTTGTTTATGGTTTCCTTTGCTGTGCAAAAGCTTTGAAGTTTCATTAGGTCCCATTTGTTTATTTTTGTTTTTATTTCCATTTCTCTAGGAGGTGGGTCAAAAGGGATCTTGCTGTGATTTATGTCATAGAGTGTTCTGCCTATGTTTTCTTCTAAGAGTTCGATAGTGGCTGGCCTTACATTGAGGTCTTTAATCCATTTTGAGTTTATTTTTGTGTATGGTGTTAGGGAGTGTTCTAGTTTCATTCTTTTACATGTACCTGTGCAGTTTTCCCAGCACCACTTATTGAAGAGGCTGTCTTTTCTCCACTGTATATTCTTGCCTCCTTTATCAAAGATAAGGTGACCATATGTGTGTGGGTTTTTCTCTGGGCTTTCTGTCCTGTTCCATTGATCTATATTTCTGTTTTTGTGCCAGTACCATACCCGTGTGGTGTTTCTTAGTACCTTCGTTTTGCAAAAGAGAAGACTGAGGCTTCAGAAGTGTCTTGTCCTGTGGCTGCACAGCTGATGCTTTTAAGCAGTTACGTGTGCCAGCATTGGGCCAACTCTTTACTCCCATTTTCTCTTTGCTTCCTACAACAACCTGAAATATTAGGTTCTATTATTATCCCATTTTGCATTTGAGGAATGTTAGGTTTGGACTTGACTAAAACGACAGAGCTGGTAAGTGGCAAAGCCAGAACTTAAACCTTTCTGACTCCTAATCGTGTGCTCGTAACCCTGCGCTTGCTACCTTCCTATAATGCGTAACTGCTTTCATTACTAGCATCACCTAGCCCTCGAGGCCACATTCTTGGACGTAGATTTGGGCTCAGTGTGCATGAGGAACTTTCTGAAAACTAAAACTATAAACAATGGAATTGTGACTTTTTAACTCATAGATAATATTTAAAGAGATGCTTAGGACTTCCCTGGTGGCACAGTGGTTAAGACTCTGTTGCTCCCAATGCAGGGGGCCTGGATTCGATCCCTGGTCAGGGAACTAGATGCCACATGCATGCCGCAGCTAAGGAGCCCACCTGCCGCAACTAAGACCTGGTACAACCAAACAACAAATAAACAAATAAATACATAAATAAGATTTATAAAAAGAGGTGTTTAAAAAGAAAGATTCTGATTTTAGAGATTAATGTATAAGATAAATTGAATTCTGAGAGGCCTTTAACCCTGAGAGCCTATGCATTTTTAACATAAACATGTATAATAATTTAAATATGTATATTTCAGTACATAAGTAATTCAGTAAAATTGTTATGTAATAATCTGATATCAAAATAAAAAACAGATTAGACTTATACCAAGATATTTGAATTTTGCTTATGGAAAAATTTTAAAACAAAAACCACTAATTATTGATGTTTTACTTGTGTTTTCAGCATGTTTGTAAAGCACTTCAACAGTTTTACAGGGTTAGTTGTTCAGCTGAAGATGTTCTCAACTTGGATTCTAGCACCAATGAAAAATTTAGCCGCCATTTAATATTTCAGCTCCATGAGGTGGCATTTAAAGATAATATTCATGTTGGTAAGTGTACTGTTTTTTTTAAAAAGTCACAATTATATTAAAAACTTATGCTTTCCTTTCCTCTTAAAGTTTTTTATTTGTCAGGTTTTATGGTCATTAACCTGTCCTAAAAAAATGAGTCATGATTTTTCATGTTTTCAGGATTGGCCTTTAGTTCTAGATCTGTCTTCCTATTCTAGATTTTAGACACATTAATGTACTCAGGATATCCTTGTCATTAGTGCCTCTTGCTGTAGATACTGGGATGGCCATTCATGTCCTGGTTCTGGTTTCTCTTCCAACAGGAGTCCTTTCAGAAGTTTTCTGGGTAATGCAGGAGAGGCCTAATTCAAGTCTTATCTGTGATGCCTCAGATCTGGATTTCTGACCTTCGCTTTAGCCTTGCCTTAGCTTTTAGTACATGAGAACTGGGCTTGGGTTCCAGGCCACACTCATGAAGCCTTATTTATTGTTCCAGGCCAAACCTTAGCGTTGGAGAGAAGTGTAGATATGTAATCCTGAAAGTGTAACCAGAGGATTAATTCCAGGACTGGACATTTAGAGATATAGGCCCAGGTATAAAATGAAGTCAATCCAAAGGGGAACAGATAGGCAGAAAGGGAACACTGAAAACCAAGGTCTGAATAAAAGCAAAAATCCTGAGTGTATATCAGAGCAGGGGTAGGGCAAGCAGATGATTGACTGAAGTTCAGGTGACAGGCAATCCATTTCAGAACAAGTGCCTGACAGTTTCCAGAGTACCAAAGGCAAAAGGCATGAACATAGTCACTAAAAGACTGGCATAAAAGTCAACGTCTAATTGCTAGATTAGGGTAACACTAGGTCACAGTGGCCTCATGTGCTGTACCTAGGACTCCTTATTATCTCCCCATTTTCTGTTAGCTTAGTTGGACATTTCTTCTCTGTCTCTTTCTTTCATCCCTTGGATATTTGTAATTGTTGAATCTGTCCTTGTCCCTTTGTTCACTCCGTCTGTAACCTTAATGATCATCCACTGTCATGGCTTCAGTTCCCATCTGTGTGTTGATGACTCAAGTCTTTATCTGCAGCCAAGACAGTTCTCCCATTAAACATCCCCACACAGACACTTGAAACTCAGTGTGTCCTAGACCAGTCTCCTCATCTTTTCTCCCAAACTTGCTCCTTCTCCTGTGAGGTGTATATCCGAGTGGTATGACCATTCACCCAGTTACCCAAGTGGAAATGCTGTGTCTTGCTTACTTCTTTAGTCAGCTAGCTAGAGTGATCTGATCATACTACTGTGTGCCTCAATCCCTTCCAGGATTATTCCTTGCCTTCAGGGAAAAGTCCAGGTGTCTTAGTTTGCATGATGAGGCCCGTTGTGCACTGGCCTCATCTCTCACCACTTGGCACTTCTAACTCTGTCCTTCACTTAGCTCCCATGGGGGCCACATTTTCTCTAGTCCTTAGGCTTCTTCACTTTTTGACGCTGCTATCTGACCAGTTCACCTGGTCTGTTAAGACTCAGTTTAGGTATTGTCATCTGAGAAGCCTTTTCTGTCACATCCCAAAACCCTGAGACTTAGGTTCGTGTTCCCTCTGGGCTGCAGAGCGTGCCCAGTGCCTATCATGCCAAAGTGTTCACCACTTCCTGGGGTAATTTCTTGTTTTGTCTTCTCTATTCTACTTAATGTTTCTTTAGGGCATGGATTGTTTCTTATTCACTATTGTATTTCCAGAGCTTATCAGATAGTAATGTCTTTATCAGTAATAATAATATAACAGCAGCAGCAGCTACCATAAATACAAGAAGTCATTTAATATTTGCTGAATGAATGACTGAATGTTAGGTGGCTCTGCTGTCTGGTGCAGGGGGTAGAGTCCTAAGCAGGGATTTCTTTGATTCCTGTTTACTCCTCGTGGTCTGCTCTGGCTCCTAGCCACGAGGTTGAGCACGGAGATTTGCTGCTAGGCGGAAGAGGAGAGTGGAAATTTGACGGGTAATTAGCAGTGTCTCCTACTGACCTTGAAGCCGGGCTTTAAATCAGATTCCATCAGGCAAAGGTAAGAAAGGCTTTACTGTCAGAGCAGCGTAAGCAAAAGTATAGAGGTAAGAGTTCATGACTAATTTGGGGAGCAGCTAGTGTGGCTGGAGTGGGAGACATGGTCAGACCTGGTAAACGGGATGCCATCTGCGGCTTCGGTCCTTCAGAATTATGAACTGTCAGAACCAGAGATGCAGAGATTATGAAATAGTCCAGATTCGCCACTTTGGTTCCCCTCCCTCAATGTATCTCTTGGTGACATTTCCACTTCCTTTTGTCAACCTTTCAGAAAGAGGAATTAGGAAGTGTAACATTATAGAATGTTAGCAAGATGTACAAATTTGATCTCCTTGAAATACTTTCCTACCAGCCTGCCATAGAACCTGAAATTTCTATGATTGATACGTTCTTTTGAGTTATTCCCAGCCAATAAAATTGTCCCTGTATTAATGATGAGGTGAGGGTGATACTATTGGGAAGGGCAGCAGAAAGCAGAGTAGTTTGCTGGAGCCGGTGTTAGTATTAAGGTGGTTACACCGTCCATCGTCCATCGTCCTAGCCCAGCCTCCTAAGCACAGTCTTGGCAACTGGTTCTGCAGCCACGCCTTCTTGGTGTCAAGTAGGTGTAATTTTACATTTCCAGGAAAATTTACTTTATCAGTTTATGTTTGGACTGCTTTATTGTCCTTTGATATATCATGATTTCTTTTTACTCAGTATTTACCTTATTTCCCTCATTCCAGAGATAATCATGTCTATATATGATTGCAAGGATCAAATTCTTTTGCTTTCATTTTGATTTTTAGTTTTAGAAGATAGTGGATTTGTTTCTTAGAGGAGGGAAGTAATTAAGTCTAATTTGGAGAAAGAATTTTGAACTTAGAGCATGTGTATCTTATGATTTAAGGGTTCAAGCTGTCTGGTAAATAAAGTGACAAACCCAGACTGTACCAATTTTAAAGACTAAAATTAAGTTTTTCTTATAGTAGTGCATTTCTCCAGTATTGTTATGCGTGAAGCAACTTAACCAGATTGTTATTTGATTTTATGATACAAATTATGAGAGTTGAAAGAAGCTCTGGATTGTCATACCATCTTTTCTGTGTAAAGATAGTGCCACTCATATTTAGAACTCTTAGAATAAATGTTGAAATACACTAGATGTATTTACTTGCTTTAGTTCTGGACTTTAGTTATTGGGCCACAACCCCGCTCATGACCAGTTATCGGGAGAGGCAGGAGGAGCAAGAACCTTAAACTAATGACTGTGAATGTCCAGGTTCTTGGGGCGCGTCATGCGAGTGAAGGAGAGGAGATAAGTCCTGAGAAATTTGCTGACGTCCCGACATAGGGAGAGTGTGGCAGCACTGTTTACTTGTGTAAACCTTGCATTCTTTAATCATTAATTGTGAATGTAAATTCTACTCAATTTGTATTCATTAAAATGGTGCTTTTTTGGTGACAGAGCATTTGGCCCAGGCCCATACTAGCAACATTGACAAATCGTCTCACATTAACCTTCCCTTCTAAGATGATTTGTTTATAAGTTACACCAAACTCCCCTGTCAAAGGGAATTTAAAAAGTAAAAGATTACACAAGAGGAAGGAAGTATAGGAGAGGTGTGTTACAGTTTATAATAACAGCTCAGTTTTTTTTTTTTTTTTTTTTTTTTTTT